TTCCGCGCAGTCTTAGCCCAGCAACAACAGCAACAGCAACATCTAAATATGGCTGCTACCGGTCGTCTTGCAATGCCGGCGTCTATGCCATACAACTCTTCGACGACCTCGATGCGTCTCCAGCCATCAGACCAAGCATCTGCAGAATATATGAAGCCCCATGAGGCCGTTGCGTCACTACTGGATCTCAAGTCCGGTGGTGACTATCTACGAAGCCCATCTGACCATATGATGGATGGGAAACGTCTTGAGGACGTAACTATTCATTCAGATCGGATTGCAGAACTTTTTACCGGGTTCTTTACATACTATCACCCATTTCTACCTTTGCTCGAGGCACAGAAGTCTCCAGAAGAATACTATGATACCTCCCCTCTTCTCTTCTGGGCCATTCTTGCCGTTGCTTCTCGCCGATACCAAACTGATTCCTCTCTCCTCAGTGCTTTATCTGGTCCAGTGCTACGACTGGTATGGAGCACTCTCGCAGATGTTCCGCAAAGTTACCATGTCGTCAAGGCTTTGGCATTGCTCTGCACATGGCCTTTCCCCACCAGCAGCACTTCCACAGACCCTACTTTCATGCTTTGCGGCATGATGCAGCGTATAGCACTTCAAATAGGCTTGCATAGGCCATCTCACGCCCAGGATTTCTCAAAGTACAGGGTTGAGTTGAGAGAAGGCGAATTAAACGATAGGGTTAGGACATGGGCTTTTTGCAATATCGTTGCCCAGCGGTAGGTGACGTCTCTCTCTCTATATATACCCTAGATCTATGCTAATTAGCTCTTGCAGAGTTTCAACTGGGTACGGCCAGCCGTCATCAACACTATTTGATTGCACACTCTCATCGACAGAAGCAGATCTAAGATTGCCTTCTGAAGTCAAAGTGCGTCTGCAGATTGAAAAGTTCTGTGATAAAATATCACAGATGCTATATAGTAACCGCCGGGATCCAGTGGGCGTATTAAGTGATACGGAGAGAAATGTGATGGCATCGGTCCTATCTAAGGACTTTGAAGATCTAGAGTCTCAGGTCCGGACAGAGACAAACTGTATGCCTTTCAAATCTTACCGTATACAACCCTGTTAAACTAACCAATGAGTAATAGCTATAACAAATGTCTACTTACGCGCTGCTGGCCTCCACCTTCATCTCTCTATTTTCTTCGAAAACCCAACCACAAAGGACTACCGTCAAGGCCTATCATCCCTATATCTTGCAACAACCGCCTTTCTTGAGGCTGCTTTTGGGCTTGAAACATCCACAGGCCCCGTCTTATCATACTGCTCCAACTATGTCTACCAGATGGCCCTAGCAGCAGGCTTCAGTCTTTTCAAGCTGTGTAACAGCTTCTTTGCTGCCCATATCGACATGAGCTACACCAAAACGCTGTTCAGCCGCACTATATCGGCACTTCGCCAAATGTCCGTTACTAACAATGACCTTCCACAGCGGTTAGCCGAAGTTCTAGCTCAAATGTGGCGGATGAATAGTGTTGGGAGCCGAAACGAGCAGTCCCAAAGCCAGAAGCAGCAGGGAAACCCCAGCCATTCTGAAACGGGAGACTCGCTGATGTTAAAGGTTCGCTGTAGAATGAGCATGTCACTAGTTTTCGACTCTGTCTGGCGATGGCGAGAAGATTTCCAAGCCAGGGGGAAGAACTTTGAGGGTAAGGCCCCATACTTATTTTTTTCCCCTATATATGGTCATCATTTAACTGCTGCCCACAGTATACCTCAAAAACCCAACAAACCCTGACTCTGGTGCCGACTCCTCAGCCTCATGCTCCTCTACTGCTGTCATTCGTACGGCCACATCTACTCCTGCACCACCTGGACCAGAAGGCTTAAGCACGAGCTCAACCGCTGATCCCACTCTCACTTCGCCAGCCTTGACAGCTGCTCCTGCAACAACGGGGCCTGGCTCTTCGTTAGCTCCATCGTTAGGTGCCCTCAACTCGGCCTCTCTTTCAAGCGGCTTCCTAGAGCCAAACTATGAAGTGTTCGATCCACTGAATTGGATGCTTGACGGACTCGTAGATTTTCCTTATTTGTATCCTGGCGCGCAAGGGTTGGAAGTGTAAGTGGAAAATTAAAAGTAAATTGGTCAAGGGACGCCGCTATCTTTCTATTCTCACTGCCCAAGTATGTTTTGTCTATACACGATCTGGCTTGTCTGGTACATTTTTGGGACGAGGCTTCTTGTTCCCACCAGAAGTTTTCATGATAATGGGAAATGCAACGTTGCTTGCTGGATTCATAATGAGGAGGAGTAACATTGATCTTTGACACGACGTTCACGCGTTTATATCCATACACATAATAAGTTGAACGGTAGTGTTATTAATATTTGATTACTTCAATATATACTTTGGGTCACTCTCCGCCCTTTCAGTCGCCCATACCGCATTGATGATTTCGAAAGCAGAGAAGGTAGTATCAACTTCCGCCCCCACCGCCGCATCCCCCTCCACCACCACCACCACCACATCCCCCTCCTCCACCACCGCATCCTCCGCTGCCTCCGCCACATCCTGCTGACCCTCCTTCAGCGGAGCATACACCGGCAAATACAGTCCCAAAACATGTCCCTGCAACACAGCCTCCAGCTTCACTCTCGGGTGTAGCTAGACAAGCAGGGTTGGAGGGGTACATATCACAGCTAATTGCCGGGTCCATGGCAAACGGTAAGAAGAATGCTCCTCCAACGAGCGGAATACCCCAGTAATACATTGGAATGCCCTCTTCTTTATTACCTACACCTCGTTTATTCGCCCGTTTTATCACTTTGTTATGCTGGTGTTTAAGCTCTATGAATTTTATCTTGGCCCTTGCGCGGCTAGCTGGTGAGTTGGGTTCCCGTACTGAGTTATGAGCTGAAATATGAGCATTCTTTTGGGGGTCAGGACTTATATCATCCCTCTGATGGAGCTGTGCTGCGTTTCTTCGTGCTGTGGATGCGGTTTTGGAGAAGATGGAGTGTATATGTGGCTCTCGAACGGCTTCGCAGTACCAGCATGTACACTCACTATATATTTCACCCCCCGTGAATTTTTGATACTGCTTAGATGTCCATTCAAACCCATCTGAGAGCTGGGACTCTATCACTTTATCATCATGATTGACAAATGTATATGTTACCTGCGTGGAATAGTTGTAATATCGCTGTGGTCTCAACTGGTGTGTATGCCAGGCCAAATCAACGTCGAGGGTAGGGACAGCTAGTTTGCCCTTGTTTTGGGCAATTATGCGGAAGAAAATAACGTATTTTTTGATCAGCCTGTCCATTGTAGATTCCAGAGCCGGAGAATGTAGCCAGTCGATTTTATCCATTTTATCAATGAACACGCCCTGCCGTATTACCGCACCAATAAGGTCGAGTGCGAATGGCGAGGAGTTCTCCCAGTATCTAGACATCATTCTTCTAATGGCAATGCGCTCATTGGCACGAGTTTTACCGCCTTCCAGTATCGCTTGTCCGATAATATCGCGGGCTTTAAACATGGTTGCATTCGTGTCCCTTTGAAGGTCGGTTTCGTTGAACAGCTTTGAGTATAAAGATCCTGCTATCAACTTGTTGGGAAATAATACTGAGTTGGCTAGCGTCCGAGGGTTATCCACCACTCCATCAGTGGTTAGGAGGGTACCTGGCAGTAAAATCCCCTGTTCAACAAGAAGTCGGATATCATTTCGAAATTTCCCCAGTCGAAGCTTTTCTTGTGTGATGAACAAATGGCATCTTTGGCACTGTATTTTGAACTCCTTGTCTGCATAACCTCTACAGTGTATGAAAGGATCATCTAACGTTCCAAGTTGGGGGCAATCTTCTGTCCAAAATGCGGTCACATCTCCATAGCAGCCGGGGCATTGTATTGTTTTGAATGGAGGGTCATCGAGGTTAGACCATTTCAATCCTGTTTCTTGCTCAAAGTTGGGTATCGCAGTAGGCCCCGGCATGTATTCAAAGTTGGTGTTGTCAATACACTCATCCATCACATCTAATGGCAGTCCAGCTGCCCAAAACCCCATCTTTCCAAGCCTCAGGCAATCTTCAAGGAAATCCCGAGGATTAAGCATATATGCATGCCATACCATTACAACATCTGCGTAAATCATATATCAGCCAATGTAACTATCACTAATACGTAGATCTTCAGGTGGAGATCCAACCTAACGGAGGCACGAGAGATCTGTCCCAGAGAGTTCGCAACGGCCATCTGGGGAAGTTCCTATATTCAGGATTCTCTTCCACGTCAGAAAGAGTGACACAGCTTCTGTTCGAGCCTGGCCCGCCGGTAGGAGAGCAGCACCGAACCCAGGTCTCAAACCTGTGCACAGCTCTGGTGACATAGACCCCCCACCTCTTCTCTCGTATAAGAGCTAGAGCCTTTAGACTCCCTTCTTTATCTTGGAAATCATCAGCCAAACTGTCGTATATCCCGAATAACCCATTGTTCTTGGATATAAAGTCTCTTAGATCTGCCAGTGACCGCAGCAGCTTTAGGTGTGCTATACACTCGTCGACCATGACCGTGTTGGTTAGTTTGGCCTCCACGGCCGCCTTGAAATCAAAATTGAGTGGCCGCCGGAGGGCTGGAGATACCGGGATATCGCCATCGAGATCTGGCTCATAAGCTTGAGGAGGCTCTGATGTCATGATGTAGTTTGGTACGCAGCACTATAGGCTGACTATCGCAGAAAGCTATGTAGCCAGCCAGGGTGGAAGTGATAACTATAGAGCCAGAAGACTATCCAGCAGGAAGTGAGTTGCTCATTTAATATAACCCAAAACAATAAATCATACGGAGCAGACCCTATAACCGCTAGATATAAAGGGGGCAGGGTCAACTGTTATGTGAGAATGACGTGCGGCCTGGGGCGATGCAGGATGAGCCCCAGCCTTCCCCAGCCTATAGCGAATATTCCATGTCAATTAATAATAGAAACCATTAGCATATTAGATCGCTTACACCTACCAAATAGCAGGGAAAGAGCCTCAGGAATTCTCAAGGATAACAGAAGAACCAGTCTAGATACACACAATACACACACGCTAAGAAACGAGGACAGTAAAGGTAATACTCCGTATAGGCCATACACCCTCCGAAGCAAGGAGAACGAGACGATAAGCAGCGGTGGCACCTAACAAACAGAAACGGCCATATAAATAAAACATACGAGAAATTATTACATTACTACACACTTTGAATCCTTGTTCCTCTTTCGTTCGCCCTTCAACTTATTCCATTGTTCCTTCCAGTCCTCAGATCGCGCAGTAGAATTTAAGCGAATGTCAGACTGAGAGGTCAGAATGTTACGCCCAGTACGTTTGTCAAAAAGCCCGCCCCCTGCGTTTTGGCGACGTCGTGGTACATCTTGAGAACGGGACCGGGATCTTTGAACGCCAGAATTCCCATTGTCAGAGGGCCTGGGGTCGGTGGAGAGCCAGCGACCACTGCGTGGCTGGGGGTTTCGGCGGGCATCTTCAGGGAGTGAGTTTGTTCCAGATAACTGGCGTTGAATATGCAATGTAGGGACACTTGGTAGAATGTCCTGGGGATCAGTAGCGTGAGCTGTGGAAGATGAGACTGGAGAGGGATTGTAGGAAGGCCGCTGAAAGGAATCGGTCTGCACTGCCCGCCCACCGGATCCACTTGGCTGCAGCTGGTCAGGTGTAGATGGGTTCATGTTCGGAAAATGAGGCTGACTACCTCTATCCTGGAAGATAGGATTGGATGGGGCAGTGTGACCGGATGAGAATGTGAAATTTGCTCGTATTGAGCCCGTAGAAGGTTCCATTGGAGATATATGAGGCAGAGAAGGGGGGGGGTCAATATTAGCAGTGGTGATAATATGAGAAGGTAAAGAGGAACTCATGTTGGCTGTGCTGAAGCCAATCTGGCTATTTGACGGCTGCCTCCTTCCACTTGCCACTGGGTTAGAAGGTGATATAGCTGTAATCTGTGATGCGCTAGGGTAATTTACTGGGCTGTTCGTCGCGCTACTTGATGGAACGGGGCGCCTAGGGATTGTGATACTAGGCCGGCTTATAGTCGTCTGTGAACGTTGTAAGGACGAGCTTCCCATTGAATCTATGGTTGAGGTCCGCGACCTGCGAAGCCCATGGCCCATGTCACTAGGTGGAGTACCGGGTGGAGGCTCTGTGGCTCTAGGTAAAATCCCCACTCTAAAATGATCCGGGAGAGAATCGGTAGCATCTGCGGTATAGGGAGGAGGCGGTGGCACCCAGTTATCTGCATCACTTTCATGTGGTACGACAAACTGCCGGCGACGGGGACCCGAATGGAGAGCAGGGCGAGCATTCTCGAATCGACTTGCTGCAAGGCTACGGGAGGCTGCAGTTGCTGCTCGTCTTAATGTCTCGACAGAGCGAGGTGAGGTGTTGCTGTAAGGGCTGTCTAAGAACGGTAGGGCACTCCTGGTTCCTCCTCCTGGGCTAGATGGAAAAGGTGGGGATGACGGCTCCTCGTTCTGATGAGAGCTTGCTGGGGGTATACTGTTTCGCCTATTCGACCGGGATGGTGTATGCCTAGCCGCCATGGTTCTCTGGCGACTGATTTGGGCTCTTCTCTTTTCAAGCTCGACTTCGGCATCAAGGGTTGCACCTCGTTCGGGCAACTCTGTTGGAACTGCCTCGCCAGCCTCGATTATCAGCTCTTCATGTGTACCATTTCTTGTGGAAAGTTCAAAATCAAACAGAATTATCCTTCCACCGTCGATGGGCATAGTATCCCCAGTAATAACACTGAAAGAGGAATCAACACCTCCGGGAGCTACCGCAACGAGCCTGCGTAGCTTCTTAGAGCCACTATTCTCTCCTTTTATGTCACGCATCCAACGCATATCCGTAATATCGTTGACAGCTTCGAGAGGATGCCCAGCTATGAAACTTTTCGGGCCTTCAATATGTTTTTTGAGACGTTGGAAGTTAGTGGCCTCGGACGATAATGAACCGTCTTCGTTGACGCGAGTGATAGTAGGCTGGGGCTGGGTCTGGGACCCTTTCCTCTCATCCTCAGCTTTAGTTCTTGAAGTTGGAACACCGAATATCCAAATTCCAGAACCTTCAAAGCCGGCTGCTATAAATTCACCTTTCTCACTCGCAACCGGAAGCAGGTTTGGCTTAGGTTCGTCTCTTTCTGTATCTGCCCCAGGACCAACAAGGTAAAGGGTACCGCCCTTAATGTCATCAACTTGGGATATCCGGAATGCCTTCATCTGAGTATCATATCCTACAAAGAAGACAGATTGATCGCCACCTTCAGCTGGTGGTATCAAGTTGGAACAACTATACCCGTCGCCAACCTCTGGAAACAGAATTTGCGTTGTCCACATTCGACTGTGGAGTTCTGGCAGGCTAAGATCGAACCCGGGGTCAGGAAGAAGCGGAGGAGAGACCATGACGAAATTATGAGCTCGAAGATCTGTGGAAGAGCCAAAGAGCATGGATCCATCAGAGGAGAAGGCCAGGGTTGATACCCCGTCACATCTTACAGCTCTATGAGCCGTCGATAGTATATTATCACCCAACGCGTAGATTTCAATCCCTCCATCAAATGCCACGGCTAGAACAGAGGCGTAGGGCGAAAATTCCAGCGTTAATGGAACCTCGTGAAGTTCAATTGTTTGAAGGAGGCTTGCATGCTGGTTCTTTAGCCCATACAGGCGTACCCGGTGTTCAGAGGATGCAACAGCTAACAATGTCCCGTCATCAAGGATTGCAGCTGCTGTAGGGCGGCGTAATATCTTTAATTCGTGGAGAATTGAAATAGGATCCTTAGTAAGGTCTATTACAAATATTCTTGATGAACTTAATGCAAGAAGTAGCCGGCCACTTGCAGAGAATATAAACCGCAATGCTTCACCTTGCGGAGAAGCTGATGAAGAGCTGACGGATGCTGAGATGAGCTTCACAACGGTCTGTTTTGGTCGAAGAAAGGCAGCAAAAACATATTTCCTGGCCACTTGGGCAAATCTGGACTTCAAATGTTCGAGGCTATCTGATTCTAAAGTCACGGCTGGTGTATCATCTGATGAACAGAAGTCTGTTAAGTGGTGACGATAAAACCGTGGGCAGTTGGATATCCTTCGCCATTCCCGATTAACCAAGGTAAGTGAAGCAAAACAGCTTGCATCCACCAAATGTAATATCCTAAGGAATTACATGTTAAAAATGTCTACAAAGGTGTTCTCCTTTTTTAATAACAAGTGATTTTTAAGCTTACCTCTCAATTACGACTTGAGGCAGTCGAGAAAATGCTGCTGTTGGCTGTTCCTCAGCCCAAACTCCCTGGGTATTTAACACGGTACTAGGCTCCTCCGAGTATTGAAGCGTGGAGGAGCTATCAGCTCCGGTGTCGAGCTCGTCTAGAATCATATATGCGCTACTCTGTATTCCATCGATATCTCCAGGCGGAACAGAAGTTTGATTCCTTTTCATGGTACTGGCTGTTATTTCCAGTTATCACCCATGGTTGTACCCAAATAAGCGCATGAGCTTCCCGTAGGTGCGTCCTCTTATATCAAACAGCATGAAGGATTCATGTACCACCACACAACCATGAAAGCAAAAAAAAAAAAAAAAGGAGGATAGAGAGAATGATAAACACCAAGCCTGCAGATGCGTGGCGATGCCTTCTCCAACTTCTCGTTATATCTAGGTTGGGGACGATCGTTGCATGGGAGCGAGCAACCACAATATGTATATTGCAACCACCATGCAAGTTTGAAGGCTCCAGGGATCTTTTTGAAACTAAATATTATTTATGCCTGGCGCTCCACGAAATGTCCCACGAGTTAAAAAAAACACGGCAACAGTCCAGCCACGTCAAGCTTAAAAATAGCAGTCTTGATGGTCGTATTTTTTCCCGGTTGTTTTTTCCTCCAAAGAAACCAACGTCGCTATACAGTCACGTGATATAGCCAGTTCAACATTTTCTAGCTGGCAAAATAAGAAAAGAGTTGCTGTAGGCCGTCTTTACATCAGGCTATGCAGCTGCTTGCTTATTACTGATAACTACTAGTATAGAGTATTTCACAACCATATTCAAGTGGTTCTATCGTTCTCACCATTTTTCTAGGACGTTGAGATGCGATGAGTCAGCAGAAACGGCAGAAGCGCTGACCAATCAGAAGACATGCCGCTAGCCCGGATGAGAACCAACCTTATCAAATTATGGACCAATGAGGAGCTGTCGATTCGAGCGGGGCATCTTATTAAGCGATAAGGCGCCACGTTATTCCGATCCGAAGGGCATTGTCCAATTAGGGCGGGGGAAGACGGCAAAAAAGGCCCTTGCATATTGTAACAAAGAGGCAAGGAAGGAGAAAGTGACAACTTGATACAAACATCGATAATGCAAGAGACCGCGGCAGACAAGATACGGTTGAGAAGCGCCAGCTCTGCGTGATGGATGTGTGCGCTTGCTGTATGTTTCACGATCAACTGGGAGCTCTGTACCTTGGGACTTGACGCCACTTTCATCGCCCCAAAAAAAAAAAAATTCCCGTTTACCCGATGATAATGTCACGACGTCTGCCAATGCAGATTTAAGAAAGAGATAATAGCGCGCTATATACATACAACTCACCGATTCATTCGTGGGGGCCTTTGATTTCTTCATTTCATACCTGCGCCTTATTTATCTATCCAAGATGGCAGCTCCTCCTCGCCCAACCACAGTTGCACCCAGAGACACCCAACAGTATGCCCTCAGCACCGGCTCTCGTCCTTACCGGTCACACAAGGTCCGCGCCTGTGATCTATGTCGAAAGCGCAAATCTCGGTGTACCGTCGACCTACCTGGCCAGTCATGCTTGTTGTGCAGAGTTCAAGGGGCCGACTGCCATTATGGCGAGGACAAGTCCAATTTGATGGACCAGCCAGCGCCAAATGTCAACACTGAAACCAAGCCCTGGAGCATGCCTCCCGATACCAAAGGGCTAAAAAGGACGCATGATGAGATGAATTCGGCGTCTCCCGCTAGAAGTCTCATGGACATCCCACGGATGCTCTCCAAGGAAAATCATGCAAAGTCAAAAGCTAAAGTAGAGAGCGAACACGGCTATCGACACGGACCAGGGGAATCCGTACATATTGTTGGGCCGGTTGCGGCCGCTGATGCTCAGGTAATTGAGCGGTATACTGAACGATCGAATAATCACAGCCCTGACCGGAAGACACCTTATAATGTTTATTCTAACGACCCAAGAAAACCAATTCTGTATACTACCGTATCAAGACGACGACAGGGGCTCAAGACGACTGGAACTCCTGGTGAAAACCAAAGGGATATCCTCGAGCAGATCATAGGCCCATTTAAGCATGATCTTATCAAGATGTGTGTGTTATAATAGATATTTCTCTCACTATATGGCAAAAACACATCTCACTAACTCATTGAACCCCTCAGATTCCTGGATAAAATTAATGCTTCGTTCCCATTATTTGACGAAGAAGCGTTTTTGAGCGGATATGAGGCTCAGGATGACAGCGTTCCGCCTGCATTATTGTGCCAGGTGTATGCGACATCGCTCATTTATTGGAACCAATCGCCTGTCCTGGCTCCGCATCCAAAGCCTGATGTTAGATATGCTGTTAACATGGCTGTGGCCGCACTCCATGAAGAATTTTCTGCTCCAGGGCTATCGACACTTAGTGCCGCCTTGATTGATCTAACAGGCAGGCCCATCTTTTCTACCACAGGAAATGCCATCAATAGTGGCCGTACCGTAGCTCTTTCACATTGCCTTGGCCTCAACCGAGATCCAAGTAATTGGAAATTATCCCGCGCAGAGAAAAACCAACGTATTCGGCTCTGGTGGGGCGTTGTCATCCACGACAAGTGGTGAGTCTTTGAACTGGTTCCTTATTCTTCGCGTTTTTATCGTTAACCTCAGCGAGCAGGGCAAGTTATGGCCATGGCGTGCCCCCGCATATCTCCCGTAACCAATATGACGTTCCTCTCCCGACCATCAGCGTCCTGGTGCCACAAGCAAACCCCACTCAGCAGAGAGTCAGAGCTGCACATTGCTATATTGCCTTGTGTCAGTTGACTGAAATTCTCGGTGATCTCCTCCCCTTGGTATATGGACTCCAGCCGAGGCCTTCCAAGGAGACGTCAAAGATCCTTAGAAGAATGAGATCAGATCTAGATCGATGGGAAGATTCTCTTCCGGACTGGCTCAGGGTGCCACAAGACCAAGATACCCCATCAACATCGGGATCCAGCAGCATGCAGCTAGCATTTTTAGCACTGAAAATGCTAGTCTGTAGAGTTGAACTCCAAGTAAGACCCCAGATTCTTTCTGCCGGCGTGTAAATACACAATGGCAATATAAAAATACATCACGCTAATCAGTTGGAGGAGGAATGGCTGCAGGAAGTTAACCCTTCTGACAACCCAAACGCAGAAGCCCGCCGGTATTTCCAAACTGAATGTAGGAAGGCAGCAGAGGAAATCGTTCAGTTCATGCTATCGTTGAGAAAACCACAGTATCAAGAATTCTGGATGTCCTGTAAGTTTGAAAATGAGTACACCTGTCCCTCCGCATACCCAGAATGATGTTGACAACTAGCCACAGATAGTTCGTACCATCTAACGTCAACTGCGACTCTTCTCGTCCGCTCTGCGCTAGAAACGTCTGATCCCGAAATTGCTCGAGCCTGTCTCAACAATGTTAGCATCCTTCGTGGTGTTCTCGAAAAAGCACGAGCTGAAAATGACTGGGATGTCGGTGACATGTGCCTTGACCACTGTGAGAAGATATTGAGCAAGCATACCACTGAAGAGGTAGTGCAAGCTTCGGAGCTCAATAGAAACACCGCCATGAATCATCATGGTTCTGACGCCCCTGAAGCGACGGCAATGACGCCGTATGATCGAGCAACGCACAATGATATCGTTGACGACATGATGTCGATTTCTGGCACGTTCGGGACAATGGATGGTTTCCCCTTTGATATGACTGGGATTTGGGATGTATCGGGCCTACAAGACCACGATACAAGCTTTATCAACATGACTCCGCTGCCGTAGGAAAAAGCTGAACGAGGATAGTACAATTTCTGCAAGCGTGGTTTTTTGCTTCGATGTATATAATGTTATTATTAGTGGGCGGCCTTCTCTTTTTGAATACCCTTATCTTTATACGTGGCGGTTGTAAATAGTTAACTAATTGCGCCACATCATATGCTGAACTTAGGTACCATTTGCTCAAAGAGAAAAGAGATAGATAGGTGGGAATGTTAATAAATACTGATATATCAACTGGTGCTGAAAATGGAGTTGCCTCCAAAAATGTTGTTTTATACCTCCACACCTCTTGCAGATAACAACTCCCTGCCAACATTTCAACTGGCCATGTATAAACGAAGTAGCCAACTATCTCCTCCCGAGACGGACTCAGTTTTGCCTCCCGAAACGGCCAAAAGTTTTCCGCAGACGAGCTATCAATTTTTCTTCCCCGACATAGTTTTCCGTTCCAAGGGCGGTTTATATTGGTCATTGAAAACTTGAAGCATCCAAGCAAAGCCACAAAACCATCCTCGGGTCCCGTATTTAGCATTTTCAATACCGTGTGGGGAAACACCGTCGATGTAGACTACTGCTGGACTGCCGGCTTTTTCTTGGGCTAGACTGGAATACCATAACAAAGCATTTGTCTAGGCATATACAGACCAAGGGGTTTGAGGGTAGACCCGAGGTTAGAGAATACTGCTTGACCCCGCAGATATGAATGGCCAGGGCCTTCTTGCTTGTATTAAATATTGACTAAGGGGAAAGAAACCTGGGGTTATTTATATATAAATTTATACATCTAACCCTACCATCCCTACCCTGATTCAAGAAAGCACCAAAATACCTTCATATAAAGACCTGACGATGACTATTACTACTACATCTTCAACATACCCTGCGGTACAGCCATCAAATGGCAAGGTCAACGAGAGCGGTAAACCGGGGGAATACATTACACCCAACTTGACGGCTGCGCTCCGAAAAGCCGAGAATGACTTTCGGTCTGATGTTGTAACCGTGCCTACAGAGGAGATGATGCAGGTGAGGGATGCATAGTTACTAAAACATTGTGAACTGTGGGATATATGCTGGGGTATAAGGAACTAACACCGCCCACAGGCCATCATGAATGCTACATTTGGCGATGACATCTATGATGTAGATGTCGGGGAACCGTCTGTTGTTGCCCTGGAGCAAAGACTTGTTGAGCTGACCGGGATGGAAGCTGGCCTATGGGTCATGTCTGGCACCATGGGGAATCAGATATGCCTGCGTACACATTTGACGCAGCCTCCTCACACAGTCCTGCTGGATCACAGAGCACACATATATCGTGCAGAATCTGGAGCTTTGCCTGCATTATCTCAGGCCTCAATTACGCCTGTGCACCCTGCAAACGGTGTTCATCTGACTCTGGAAGATGTCAAGGAGAATATGACTCCTGACGGAAATTGTATGTTGGATATTCCGCCTGCTGCTCATCTAGCCCTGGGCATATCTAACTGCGTTAACGGAGTCAATAGGGCATTATCCACCAACCCGTGTGGTTGCTCTTGAAAACACGCTGAGCGGCTCTATTCTTCCTCTAAAAGATGCTAAGGAGATATCTGATTTCGTTCGCGGCTACCCTGTGCCGAAAGGCCTAAAGCCCATCGCAATGCATTGCGATGCAGCAAGGCTGTTTGACGGAGTTGCAGGAGAAGGAGTAGACTTGAAGGAATACTGTGCCTGCTTTGACTCAATCAGTGTGTGCCTTGCAAAGGGGCTAGGTGCTCCAATGGGCAGTATAATATTAGGAACACGACCCTTTATTGAACGAGCTAAATATTTCAAGAAAATGTTCGGGGGAGGCACAAGACAGGTAATTAATACTCTTGTCAAACCCCAGAAGGTATGAATTGTCTGCTAATCGAATTACCTAGCCCGGTATGATGGCGGCTGGTGCTCTCGCAGCTCTGAACAATTCAATACCTCAGCTTCCTCGTGTTCACGCCCTTACCAAAACAGCTGCCACACAACTGGAGGCCGTAGGGTATAAATTTTCTCTCCCAGTGCAAACTAACATGATTGTCTTAGATTTGAAGACAGCTGGTATACCGGATGCTGCGCTTGTTAAATACTGCAAAGATGCAGGTATTGTTGTATTCCCTGGGGGAAGACTTGTATTTCACTACCAGACCTCACAGGACGCAGCAAATAGGCTAGTGAAAGCGCTTACCATGTTGATGCAGGATACGAAAGCTGGAAAATTGGTTGAAGGTGAGGCCAATGGCAAGAGACTGAACAGAGCCTGTTGATATGATGTTTTTCTTTATATATATAGTAACGTTAGCTTAATCAACATGCCAATTTTTGCTCTTAAAGACTTTTTATACAAGAGAAATAGCTATATAAACTAACCACACATGCGTATTTGAAACTAAAGTACATAGATAGCATCAAAAAAGTTGAATGTTCATAATGGTTGAGGGGGATCTGTCAAGAGGAAACGCCAAACAATGGAATCGTATTATGCTGCACCTGCCAGCCTCCACCAGTATGCAAGGGAGTCTAAAGGAGAAGATTAATGCAAAGGACAAATTTTAGGGAAGCGTAGGTAGGGGAGGGAATGAAGTAACAGCTGAGATCTTCCATCCTCACATCCACATTAAAAAAAAAAGTTGATATAAAGACAGGGTAGAAGAAATAAAAAGAAACAAAGATATGAAATGGAAGTAATAGGCAAACGCTCTGTATAGATCCGTGGATTCGTAGTCCAGTTGTACAGTAGGGCGTAATCCCAAGTTGACCGACCATTCATCAACATTCCCCTTTCATGCATTTCTTCCGCTTCAGGATCACATTAAGTCGGGTTCAAAAGAGTTTCAAGACGTGACGATTTATTTACCGCCGCTTCCGAAGAAGCCTGTCAAGCTATTCTTCATTCCTTTCATTTGCTCTTCTCTAGCCTTCTCCTCTTCTGCTGCCATTTCTGCCAGCCATTTCTCACCGTTTTCTCTGATCTCTTTCTCGATTAGCTCATATTGTTTCTGGCCTCTCTCACGGATTTGATCCCACAGCATCTTTCCCTCCTCTATTCCACCGGATTGGCCATCTTCAAGACCAGCTATTGACGACCCGGCAGGCTTTATACCGAAGAGGGCACCGATACCACCGATGCTATGTTTCGGTCTCTTGGCTTTCTCTTCTGCTAGCTGTTTCTCAAACTTGTCACGCATGGCCTTCTCACGCTTGGCGAATTCGGCTGGGATGAACGTGCCCTCAAAAGACTTGAGAACTGGCCGGACATCATCGATACCCATTCCAGCAACGTATTCTAAGAAGGGAATCAAGGCAACAAGCGACTTGTCTTTTGAATCACCTTTCCATTTGGGTAATATAATGGCGTTCTCGGGCTGGCGTTTAGCATGAGGGGCATGGGTGTCGATCAAAATAACCTTCGAAAGGTCGCGGTTCAGGTAAGAAAGATCCTAGAATAACATGTAAGTACAAATTATGACGAAAAGTGACAAAAAATGAGGGTTACGCAGAGAATTTACCTTGACATATTCACCATCCTCGTACTTGGTAGCTTCTCTAAATAACGGCCATCTGATGATTCTGTATGGGTCAAGCTTTCGCAGAACCTGGTCTGCCATCATACTTGGAACGGTCGTGAAAAGAACCAATTCGTAGTATTGGTTGAGATAACGAAGAAAGTAGTCCACTCCTGGCCTCTTCGCTACTCGCCATCCATGCTCACGGGTCCATTCACTATGAACGAGGAGATCCTCGAGACTGATGACGAGGGTGTAGGGTTGTCTGAATTGCGGGTCTTCTTCAGGTAGAAGTTTTTCAAACGCAGGATCCTTGTAGTAGCTTGTGATGTCAGACATACGAGCTTTGATACGGTTAAAGAGAAGGCCAAAGCCCCATCCCGAGGGAGCATCCGGATGGGCTTCTTCCTCTTCCGTTGTATCCCAATTACGGCCAAGATACATCGTACCGGCGATAGAGAAGCCCAGGAATGCCGCAAAGGTCAAGTTGGTCATCTTGTTTCTGCGTCTCTCGAGAGAAGAGACGTAAGCGTTCTTTGGAATATCACCACGGGCTCCATCGTCGTCAGTGGCCTTCTCTGGGTCTTCGGTCAAGTTCAGTCCTCCGATACGGCGTCTCGATTGTGATTCCACCTCTTCACCCAAGGTAGATGGGATACCTTGGGTCAGGTCTGGAAGAGGTTGTTGGTTGGCGTGTTCTGGCTCTCCTTTCTCGTTTAGAGTATCAGCTTGACCCTCGGAGGTTTCTTGCTTTGATCCAGATCCAGCTCCAGTAGATTGAGGAGCTGTATTCTTTTGCGATTCATCAGATGTTTCAAATTCTACTTGTTCTTCCGAGAATTTGTCTGTTGCCTGTGCCTTTGGCTGGGGGACTACTCTAGGCTTCTGGCCGTCTGATAGGGGTTCGGAAGAGGGAGCTGAGGACGGGATCGTGTAACCGCTGGGTTTCGACGGTTTCTTAGAATCGCGAGCATAGAATGTGGCGGGTGAGGTGGTCAGAGATAGTCTGGTGCCAACAGGTATGGCCCTCTGCCTGACAAGTGGAAGTACTAAGCGTGAGAGCATCTTGGGCTATGTGATTGTAATTTGACGTCTTTTGTTCAACAGAAATTAGAAAACGAGCTTCCCCATTGGCTCATATCATGGTATTATAAGATGAAAGGCCTCAATTCCTCCTTTGCAACAACTTCTTCTTCCTCTGCTTCTTCTATAAACAAGACAAAAACGTTAACAAAAATCTGAAAGCTTCAGAAACTGAAAGATCTAGAATCACGTGAATGGCGCTTATATAAGCCGGAGTTTTCAGCCTTTTTTTTCTTTCGTTTTTTTTCATCTTCAAGTTCTTCATTTCTCTCTCTCTCTTTTTTTCCTTCCTTTCTTTTCTTTCTCTTCTTCTTACTAGAAAGTTATTAATCGACCCCAGTGAACGAAATTTGACACAGTGCTTGTTCGTTTTCAGTGCTCATTGTGTTGTAATAGCTGGGTAGATCAAGGCTATATATAATATTCCTCATATTATAGCCATCGCGCCACCAAGAGAAACAGCTAGGGCTTCCTATGAGTTGCTTGGTCTCCGTCGGTGTCGACACATCAATTACGCTCTTTGTCGCTTGTCTTGAGCTCTCACGGTAGCTCGGCCTGGCTAGAGAATGGTAGACGGGTTGCATGCGTGGTCAGGACCTCTGCAGCCTTGAGAATCGTATGCCATATCATTTCGATTCAACAACGACAACCATGATCCCGCCATCTGCTAAAGGAGCGAATGGCCTCTCGAGGGGCCCGGAGCAGAAGAATGAGTGTAGAATTTTCGACCTGCCCTGGGAGTTACGGTGTAAGGTGTACTCATATGTCTTCTCGGGGCCTCCTCGAATCGTGAAACCTATCAGGCAGGGCCATAAACGAAGCGACAAAGAGCTGGCCTCACCGACGTTTGGCCGACATAGGCGTACAAGCATCATGCTGGTCTCTCGCCGATTCCACGATGACGTATCCCAGTATCTCTACTCGTCGTATACTTTCCGTATATTTCCTATACAACATCAACCGTCTATCGTGCCGAACGTCTGCGACCTCGCGCCCCGATACAAGAGTGCGGTGAGAGTTCTACGGCTCGTGCTGGGCTCGAGCTGGACTGAACCACCGGAATCGTGGGTCGTGAATGAGAAACTCGGACTCAAATCTATGGAGAGAGTGCATACGTTGGAAATACTGGTGCTGTGTGACCCGTCAAACCCGATGTTTGAGCCGTTCCGTATTTCCAAGGATTTTTATACCAAGTTTTCCTGTCGGCTTCTACATGGGATACTACAAGACTTACCAGATTTGAGATATGTTGTGATTGATGGGTACTCGTCCATTGAGAGGAATGGCGGCCTGGTCAGTGGACTGGTTCAAGAAATCCAGGCCACAAAGAAGAAGATACGATGGGCTGGCCCCTTCAAATCTTTAAATCCATCCTCCCCTTGTTGACATATAAAGCATTCGTTTGGATATTTGATGATTCCGTTTTATATATAGCGTTCAAGGCACCGCTGTTTTACTAGACTTGTACTTCTTGTTTTATACCATAATAGAATATATATTTATCTTTATCATCGATTGAATTGTCGAAGCCTTGAGGTAACATGAGCTACGTTCGGAAGGGCTACGATAATGGTACATGTATAACGGAAGTTATATTTCCTCATCAGTCTCCATCATATCTTGCTGACGTGCCTTGGATCTGCTAGCTCGGGCTAGAGACGCTTCCTTATCAATCATTTGTCGAGACACGGCGACAATGTTGTCTTCTATAAGCTGCTGGCCAACATCCTCGATATCTATATCCAACAGTAAGCGAGTTAGTTAAGAACATATCACAGTCCAGGGTTTTTGGAATGATCATACGTTTCTTGGGGTCAAGTTTTCCAACATAGCGTGTCTTGAGTTGCTCCGGCGTGAGCTCCGACTCCTCCTTAACTCTCTTCTCGTATCCTTCAGCAAGTCCAACAAGCTTCTGCAGCCGCTCCACATTCTCCTTGTGCTCCTGTCTAAAGTCGTTCATCTGAAGAGCTTCGGTCCATACGTGCTTATGGAGGTTCATAAGCATATTCTCCTCTAGCCCTGTCTTCCGGTAGTTAATAGCCATGCTGTAGTAATGACGGTTCAAGCCGTGGATCAAAGCTTGGATTGATGGTTTGTTGAGGTGTCCAAGGTTAGAGGTGGTCTGACGTGGCTCCTGGCCCATGACAAGAGTTTGGGGAGATATTAATCGGAAAGCGTCGATAACAACTTTTCCTTTTACGGATTGTATGGGATCAACGACAACAGCAACGGCGCGAGGGGTGAGCTGCTCGAAAGATTGTTGGGTGTTAATATCGACAGAGGAGAGCCAACACCCAAAGCCCGGATGGGAGTGATACCATCCCACAACCGCTTCCGGTCTATAGACTAGTGTGAGTAAGGCAAATGATTCATAGTAATGGCAAAACATGGAGCTGAATTACTGTACCTTCCTGTCTGTAGAAGCATCTCCATCATCTTTGTCTGAAATACGGGGTCAACAGCTTCGACGCTGACACCAGTACCGCTCTGAGGCATAGCGAATACATCCACAACTCTGACTGTATATTCATCCACGAACTCTCCCAACATCAAACCCATTACTTCCATGGGTACACCCGCACGGCCGTGTCGTAACATCTTCAGAAGAGCCAAAGATGATATGTGAACAGTTTCGGAGTTATCAATAAGGTTGGGGGTGTCCTAATCAGGCTTCTGGGTTAGATTTGTAAAAATACAAAGAGCAGAAGGTATCGCATCCGCAGACAGAATCAGACATAGAATCACTTACCCCTTGGGGAGCATTACTCATACCCATGCTCTGGGCAGCCTGTAACATTCGACTAAACCGCTCCATGATGAATACTAGCTCTGCCTTGTTGAGATAAAGCTACAAGCGACGTCAAAACAGGAACAGGAGCAAAAATAAAAGGTCGCGCGCAAACGACAGGTATCTTCCTAATCACCCAAGAGAGAACAGGATGATATCGGAGAGTAGAGCGATGAGTGAAAGGACGGCAAAGGAGGTGGAAGTCGAGCTTGGTTGCTTGCTTTGTTTGATGTTGCTTTGACTTCTGCTTTTCTTCCTGAAGCTGGGGCCAGTTCCGACGAGTTAATCCGAGCTCCGAGATCCCCGTTCAATGGCTCGCTTAGTCATCCATGAGTATTTCCTTCGTCTGCCTTTCGCATTTTCCACCCAAGAGCAAATTCTCTTGAACGAAACTCCTTGAATTGTTATATTGTTACCCTTCTTTTCATCATATCCAGTGTTATGGAGTTCACCGTTGCTCTTTGACTCCTCAGCCTCTAGTCTCTGACCCCATTTTTCCTGTTGCAGACTCGTTTTCTTAGCATCTTTCTCTACTGCCACCAGCTATATAGAAGACCTGTCCTTCATCAAGCTCGACCATTATCCAGAACTTGCCCATCATGACCGGGTTTGCGCCTCTCGATGCGCCCCTTACGAATGGGTCAACGGATAAGAAACGCATCGCCTACTTTTACGATTCCGATGTAGGAAATTATGCCTATGTTGCTGGACATCCGATGAAGCCTCATCGCATTCGAATGACACACAGCTTGGTGATGAACTATGGTCTTTACAAGAAGATGGAAATATATGTGAGTATTCATAGGCTGTTCTTTTCTCATATTGAACCCCCCTTTAATTGCCTGGAATACCGAAAGAGTAATGTATACTTGGGGCTGACACGTTTTTACAGCGCGCAAAACCCGCAAGCAAATTTGAAATGACGCAGTTCCACACCGACGAGTACATAGACTTCCTTGCCAAAGTAACGCCCGATAATATGGACCAATATGCAAAGGAGCAAAGTCGCTATAATGTTGGTGACGATTGTCCAGTGTTCGACGGCCTTTTTGAGTTCTGCGGTATCAGCGCAGGAGGTTCGATGGAAGGTGCTGCTCGTCTGAACAGAAACAAATGCGATATTGCGGTAAACTGGGCCGGTGGCCTTCATCATGCAAAGAAAAGCGAAGCTAGTGGCTTTTGCTACGTTAATGGTAAGTCGTCGTTTTTCTTTTTCCTCCCTTAGGACTATGGGCTGACGTTTTTTACTTAGATATTGTTCTCGGGATCCTCGAGCTTTTGCGTTTTAAACAGCGCGTTCTTTATATTGATATTGACGTTCATCACGGCGATGGTGTCGAAGAGGCATTTTATACCACCGACCGTGTTATGACTGTCTCGTTCCATAAATACGGAGAATACTTCCCTGGAACGGGTGAGTTGCGCGATATCGGAGTGGGATCAGGAAAGTATTATTCCGTCAACTTCCCCCTCAGAGATGGTATCGATGATGTATCTTATAAAGGCATCTTCGAGCCGGTCATTAAGCATGTCATGGAATGGTACCGCCCTGAGGCTGTCGTCCTTCAGTGTGGTGGTGATAGTCTGTCCGGTGATCGTCTGGGTTGCTTCAATCTGAGCATGCGCGGTCACGCGAACTGCGTTAAATACGTCAAAAGCTTTAACCTTCCGACCTTAATCCTTGGAGGAGGGGGCTACACTATGAGGAACGTCGCTCGTACCTGGGCATACGAGACCGGCGTGCTTGTTGGCAACCAGCTACCAGCAGAGCTTCCATACAATGACTACTATGAAGTAAGTTCCTGGGATGATCATGATACCTTGTTGCAATTATGTGCTTACAAAAATGTTAGTATTTCTCTCCTGATTATGAATTGGATGTCCGGCCGTCAAACATGGACAATGCCAATTCCAAAGAATATTTGGAAAAAATTCGAATTCAAGTTGTTGAAAATCTCAGACGTACCACGTTTGCCCCGTCGGTTCAAATGACCGATGTCCCAAGGGATACTTTAGTTGACGGCATGGATGACGAAGCCGACGCCATCCTTGATGACCTTGATGAGGACGAAAATAAGGATAAACGATACACAAAACGGCGATTTGACAACTACGTTGAAAAGGATGGCGAGTTAAGTGAAAGTGAGGATGAAGAGTCAGCGGCTGCCAACGGTGTCCGGCGCCAGCCCAATCGCGAAAGAAGACGAGGCAACATCAACTACCGTCACATCGATGCCGACTCAATCATAGATAGCGGAATTGTGACTCCTCGAGACGAGTCATCAATGCCTGAGGAGGAGCCTGACAAAATGGACGAGGATATTGAAATTCCAGCAAAGCCTTCTCCTACAGCAGCTGAACCCTCTGCTAAACCCGATCCACAAATAGAGGATGAAGAAGCACCAGCTGCTGAAACCAATGGCACTGCTCCGGAGGCCGAGGAGAAAGAGCCTGCTATCTCTACACCTGCTTCAAACCTGGAAATTCCTCAAGAAAATGTTGATGGAGACACTACAATGGAGGACGCAGACGCTAATATGGATGAAACCCTGGAGCTAGAACCTCCAGCTGAAGAACAGGAGGAAGCACCGGCCGTTAGCGCTTCTCAACGGAATACAACACCGCCAAAATCCCCAGAGACTGGAGAAACAAAGTCTAATTCCCAAGAGGGCACTTGTATAGCAACAGAGCCTACAAAAGCAACCGATACCACGGAAACCAAAGAACCAAATCCTGATGCCGACGCGGCTAAGGAGACTCCTCCAAAAGAGAAGGAGTAATGTCTTGGCTTTTTATTTCCTGCCTTTTTTCTTCTGGTTGTCCAAATTGAATAAACGGTTCTCCGTATCTGTTATTGGCGCTTGGGGGTAGATATCCATCTAGGAGTTTTTCTTTGGGGTCCAGCATGGCGAGGAATGACATATGGAAAGGAGGCGTCGGCTATCTCTGACGCATCTTCCGCAAACGCGTCACTTGTTCTTCTCTAATTTCTTGCTCTTTGCCATTTACCGTTTAACAATGTCTTTGCAGATATTCTTCTTATTCTCTCCAGCCAGCTTAACCATCTTATGTAATCAATTCATACTTAATATCACATGACTTCCAAAATAGTCTTCTCTTTAGGTCTAGGGTTAATCACGTGTTATAAATGGCACTATCCCCCTTTGGGCCAACCAGAAAACACCGCCAAGATTTCTTCTGCCCACACTAAGCGAAATCAATCTTTGCGGAAACGTCGAACGCTCTTGAATTCGAAGATCGCAAGCTGTCAATAATCGGATTCCACGACCAGCCTTTTTTTACGTCCTTCCCCCGCGTCGGTAGAAATCTGTTATCATGTCGAAGAGAGGGTAAGCCAGGTGTCTTTTCTATATGTTTACTGAGATGCTTGCGTGAGATTTGTGTACCAAGTTGGCAGCGAGGAGTGAAAGAGCAAAAAACAGCATCGCGAATCAGAGGAACAGAGCTAACGTGTCTTGTGTGCAATTTAGTCGTGGCGGTGCCGCCGGTAACAAGCTGAAGATGACCCTTGGTCTTCCAGTGTACGTATAAAATGAATTCCCAAATTTCGACAAGCCCAGTATATTGCCTTTTTCCCCTGCGCCATTCGTCTCTGGAGGAAGTAGAGCATAAAAAGAAATGCGACAAAGAGGAGAATGGACTGATACGGCTGGTCGGATTGAGCGTGTGGATGACAAAATTTTCGCCTTCAGATGGTTATATGTTCAAATTGTACTGATGTATGTACCCTCAACATAGTGGTGCAGTTATGAACTGCTGTGACAACTCCGGTGCCCGAAATCTCTACATCATCTCCGTCAAAGCTACCGGTGCCCGCCTGAACCGTCTTCCTGCTGCCGGTGTTGGTGACATGGTTATGGCCACCGTCAAGAAGGGAAAGCCAGAATTGAGGAAGAAGGTCATGCCCGCTGTTGTTGTCCGACAAAGCAAGCCATGGAAGCGACCTGACGGCATTTTCCTCTACTTCGAGGACAACGCTGGTGTCGTAAGTACCCATTTTTTGAGACCAGAGCATTAAATGCCGTCCATTGAAAAATCACTAACCAGGCTATACAGATTGTCAACGCCAAAGGTGAAATGAAGGGATCCGCCATCACAGGACCAGTTGGAAAGGAGGCCGCAGAGCTATGGCCTGTAAGTCAACTCCCAAAACCCAGTCAATATACCGCAAGCGATATCCATAACTAATTGCTCATTTCTTTTTTAGCGTATTGCCAGTAACTCCGGTGTTGTGATGTAAGAGATCGGTGACAGGGTACTAGGGGGCGTTGATTCTTAATTTTTATGTGATACGCAAAAATACAACCATATTTTCTCGCCTTTATCCAATATCTATTTGGCTCTGGCGGTTCACCCATGTTGTATGAAAGCATAGAACTATCCCACACGGGCCTCACGTCCGAGCCTCGGTGGGAAAATACCCGACTTTTACTGAGATTAAAAGTCAAAGTCTCAAATACAAAATATTTTCCTTGAACTATAGTGATTGTAGATATTTCTGGGTGTTCTCGGGAGGCGCGAAGATCACTCAGTATCACTCAGGCAGCCATAATAGTATTATCTATATACGGATGTTCAAATATCTCCTGGGACCATGCAAAGTTGGGGGTTAATATTGCCTTTGATCGGTTAATAATAAAGAAATATCCAATTAATTGCTATGCCTGACATAACGAATGCTAAATATTGACAAAACGCCTGCAATGCATATTATATAGAAGTAATATAAAAAACCGGGAGTCCCGCGAATACCTAGGCTTCATCGATCATATATTCATCTTACTTCATTGCCCCTTTGGTATTGAGCTCCTGGATGCACCTTAAACGGGTTGCACTTAAGAGCTTGATTTTTGATTGCTTAGAGCTTCCAACTTTAAACTCTTTTGCTCTTCGACAGCGGACGGCTGTCCAGAAATAGCCAACACAGCTATTAAGGTCAGAGCAACTATGACGGTTACCAATGCCACAATATGAACTGCCCACCAGATATGTTGGACGCCTAGTTGACAGGTGGTGATTTCATACTTCCATTCCTGAACAGAGGGATCAGTATCAAACCAGAGAGATAAAAGCCCGGCATTGCCTCCAAATTCCCCCATCATTGAGCGTAAGGTAACCTCTCGAATAGATGGTGGTTGTGTAGATTCTGTAGCAGAGCTAGATGTACTGCTAGTTGATACAAGTGATTCCGGTTCTGATGAATATTTCTTTGCATTCCATGACCAGGAAGTAGCTGGTATGCTTTCTCCCTCAGAATCGACGCTACCTTCGTCACTGACTACCGTTTTATCCACATAATGTATGACATCGCATCCAGTGTGGTCATGGCCAGTGAGGATTAAGCCATTGCGCCCTTTCCCGGCGTAAGGCGCGTTGGAATCCCCAGACATACCGAATATGCCTTGTAGGATACCATTATAACTAACGTAGTCACTTAGGTGATTTTGCTCTTTCAAACCACCAGCTTTGAACCGCATCTCACCATCGTTGGGGTTCTCGTCGTCTTTTTCATGGAATGAAAAGTAAGGTGGGTCAGTACAGACGCCCTCCTGTTTATAGAGCGGCAAGTGGGTTAACAGCAAGGTAAATGTCGTTCGGTCCTCCACCGGGTGCGAACGATCAATAACATCATTGAGATAATGGTATGTATGGCCCTGGATTGAAAGGTCAAGTGCCGGAGTGTCAAAGGTGAGAGTGTTGAGCACGATCAAGTGTATAGAAGGGATTGATCCCAGCTTGTCCTGCGTCCCATTGACATCCAGACTCAAATCTGCCGGGGGCAAATTAAACCTAACGTCCCAATTTGCGCGGCCGAATTCTCTATCGAATCGATCTAGACGTTTCTGGGAGATATCACCCGCATATCCAATATCATGGTTTCCAACAATATTAATGATTCGATTAGACCAATTATCGGGCTCAATGTCAAGAATAATTTCACCGCCCGTTTGTTGGGTATACCCACCCCTTCCAGTAGCCATGATATCGTCAGGCACCTTCACACCTCCACGAAAGGTCCGATTCCAATATCGCCATGAACGGATCCCAAATTCCTCATCCGACACCCATTGGCTCCCGATGAGATCTCCTAAAACAGTGACATGTGTAGGTCGACTCCACCACGACAATGTTCTATATATATGCGCCAAGTAGTAATCATTCCCTAGAAGATCGAGCTGTTTGCGAATCGTACGCCCCAATCGAGGGATATCCGTACATATCACACTCTGCAAACCCTTCCTGGCTGCAGAAAGGAGCGCAACACCCGTGTCTGCAGACTTTATATCTTCCCAGTGATTTTTAAGCTGTGGTATGAATCCTTCACCGGGTCTAGGCAAGGAGGTATCGCCTTCAAGCTGTGGGTCGGCTAGAACAAGTAGGCGGAATGGCGCTGTTATGGGGGAGCGCGCAGCAAGGTTATTCAGTCCTATGTGATCGCGGACGGTATTCAGAAAGGCATTACTGGTATAAGGAGGATAGATGCCGGTACTGGCGTTTGAAGTCGAGAGCGGAAAGGCGCATCCGTGGAATAGAGGATACAGGTACAGGTAACAAAGAGAGGCAAAGGATACGGGCAGGAGAACAGCGAGAGCCCGCCGGAGAATCGTGGGGAAACCCAGATGCATTAGCATCTAGTGTCTAAAAAGGAGCGTCAAAGAGTGAGAAAAGAGAGGATTGCTTGATAATGTCATGAACTAACAAAAGTAGAGCAGAAAAGGAGACTTGATGGCGAACAAATTCTAACCTTTAAATTTATGTCAGCACCCGCACGGGCTCTTGGCGCGGAGGGCTGTTTTATTCAAAGACGACGACGTTGAAGTTATAATGCACGAATGCCTCCTTTTTGAAGCGGGCGTCTGTAGATAGAGTGTGACGGATCTAATATATATCGCTCTAGGCCTCGACCCTGCATAAGTACGCTACTTGACTGACTCGTTACTCAAAGTTATAAATTTTACCTAAAGATATGTATAAGCTATCATACAAAATAATAAACATGAAATAGATAAGAACCGCAAGAGAGAATCATGTATTAAAGATCGTATTAGGTAGTACCAGTAAATGTGAGCACTCGCTTAACTTCCTTTTGGTAAACATAGGTAGTTTTGCAGTGCAGTGTGGGTGAGTTATCTCACCAATAACATCAACAAACAGGCCATTAAGTAGATTCCAAAATGTCAGGGGGTAAAGGAAGAGTAGGGGCAGATTAAGAGAAGGAGTATATGGTGAATAAATAAAAGGAAAGGGTATATCCGTGTGGGCGCCAGTCGTAATGCTCGAACATTTCTACTTGTTAAACTAAACAAGTGAGTGAAAAGGGCTGAGAAAGGGAAAGACATGTTTCTAATGCGGGGGAAGAGAAGTGCCCGGAGGAAATGGAAATTAAGTATGACGGAGGTATTATGAAATAAGCCGTTTGGACATGGAGAGCCGAAAGTGATAGTACCTTAACTGGCTGATTGGAGGTGATCCACGGGGTTCATGTCTGGGAATAAAGATGATGACCCGGTATCTATATCCCCTATTTTTTGAAACTCATCGGCGCTAGTTTCACCAACTGGTGTTGCGAGGGTCGCACTGTTCGAAGCTGACGTGTTACGCGAACTATCTTCCTCCGGTTTAGGTGGTCTTGAAGTGGAATCTAGGGGGGGAGTAGGAGATGTTTGGGCGAGCAGACGCGCTTGCTTTAGAGTTATCGTCTTCTGCTTATTTGTCGTTTTGACGGGGAGATTTAGATCTCGTTCAATCGTTGCCTTCATTATAGCCGCCATCCAGAGGCGGCCTTGTTGAATATTGTCGACTTGAAAGAAGTGGATAGCTGGCTTGGTGAACTGGACAGCGCGGGAAATGCCAGCCTTGGGAGGAACTAATTTGAAGATGAATGGAGGTTCCGCTGAACTGTTCCGTCTGGAAGTTCCAGTCTTTTCCTCGCCATCAGTTTGTTCGGCTGGCGTATCGTTGTTAGACGGAGTAGCGGGCAGGGCCTTGGCTCTGGTTAAGGTGGCGTGTAGCGATGTAATCGCATCCTGATCAGCACGGAAGACACGATGGGAAGAAATATCGATAAGGCCGCGCTCTTCAGTATCGTCTTCAGAGTAGTAATATGAGAGGCGACGGCCCTTGAGGATAAACAGGCGCGGTTTCCATGTTGTCATTAGATTAGAGGATTTCTTCTTCATCCAGCCGTAATAGTCGGCATCCTGCATCTGCTCCTTAGGAGTCTTCTTTTCGAGCCCACGTCGATAGGCACTTGTATCTTTCTTCGACTTGGTTCGCTGCGTCCCATTCCCGTTTTTCATGGTAGCAAGGCCCTCTAGTCTTGAACTTTCCGTGCTGTCTATCTCTAGGCTTCTACTTGTCCCAGTCCCTGATGGTGTGCTAGAGTCCGTTCGAGTGGGAGATTGCGGCAAGTCCCTGCCAGAGGAGGGCACCGGTGAACTGATACGAGTCTTCTCAATACCAGTAACGGCATCAGAGATAGCCCGAAGCCCAATGGTTCGTCTGACTTTGGGAGTAATGCCCCTTAAACTGGAAGTGGTCGGTAAAGGAGATGAACGCCCAGAACCATCGTTATTAGTCTTGCCATAACCAACTATGGATGATAAAAATCCGGTTGGAGACTCAGGGGTTGGTTCTAGATTTGTAACGGTAGGCGAGTGAGACTCGTCTTCAAGCAACGCAAGCGTGCTGTTAATAGTAAAATCCTGAGAGTGTCGTTTTGGGTACAGTGGCTTCACAGAAGCCAGGTCTCTCATCGAGCCTGTGCTACCAAACCTAGAGTGTCTCTTCTTCTTGTCATCTGCAGGTGCAGCCAGACTCGAATGTCTGGAGTGGCTGTAGCTTCTCTTGCTAGAATCTCTCTTACGAAGAACCTTGCGTTGCTTTCGGCCATCAACGTCACCACCAGAGAAGTATCCGCGGTCAAAATCGACAGAATCTCCAAATCCGGTGCTGGAGTCGTCTGTTCGGTTGCTTCCCGTTTTATAGAATTGTTTAGTGGCTGCTAGGGAACTGCTTGGCCGTGGGCTATTGCTGGTATTGTTGGTATTACTGTTGGTTGTTGGAGAGGGATTCATCATCCAATTGCGATCGAAAGACGGCTTCTTCTCATGAGGCGGGGCTGGAGCTTTTCTTGAGGCAGAAAATGCGCTAGAATCAGCCAACGGGAAGACGGACGTGTTTTCTATAGAAGAGTATCGATGATGGTTGCTTCGGCGAATGGAGTCTGCAGATGGTTTGGTAGTGGCGTCATTGTCGTGTGGCTGAGTTAATGGGGGAGCCGAAGCCTGTGATCCATAAGATGTATCACGGTATTTTACAGTTGTCCTAGTCCTAGAACTATGTGGGCTGTGACGATGTTTCTCACCCAGGGTAGGGATACGAGGGAGATAAGAACCCGACATTACTGACTTGGTCTGTGACCGGTCGTAGTCTTCGGCAGTATGCGAACTTGCTTTCCTCAAATGTCGTGGGCCCTGGATCTCTTCCTGGAAGGCTCTTATTTTATGCCACGTCTTGAGTCTCCGACCCATAACTCCAAAGTCGAACTCTCTCATATATATGAATTCTTGGTCCATGTCCAGGAGGACATCACCCGAGATTTCCTGTGATTCGAATATATCGCAATGTTTTGGGTCGACGCCAATGTCTCTTAGATGACGAGCCATTTGTTGATGATCCCATTTTCGAACCTCGGCTTCACTAGGCATTCGTTCTTCTTCTTCATCGGTCTCCTCTCCACGAATGTATGATAAACGGTGGTCAGGATAGCTGCTATACTCACTACTTGAATCATGCACACTATGGTTTTCTTGAGTTGCAATGCTATGTCGTGGAGTGCTAAAATTGGTGATGTGTTCGTCAATCACACTCAATGTTTCATTCAAAACCGGGCTATCTTCCCCGTTCATGGACATATTCCCTAGTGTCTCACTGATCGTCCGCCGAATGGTTGGGGAAGCTTGCGTAGAGCCCGCAGAAGCTGGACGCTGGGTTGTGTGGCCAGCTGTAGTACCGTCTCCGGATTCAGCATCCACACCAGACAAGGGTTTCATGTCAATCGCGCTGACATGCCTTGAAGGCTGGGGCGTGGTCTCATCATTCGATACCGGCGAGACAGGATCGCGACTGGACCCGAGAGACGGAGAGTCGAGCTCAGGAGTAGACGAATCCCAAAGAGGCTCTGTAGAAGGAGAAGCATCCTTTGTTTTCTTGATGCCGATCTTGGGAGCGATCACAGTATAAACTACGCCACCAAAAATTAGCCCGCAAAACGGTTGCAATGCTAATCACAAAGGACAACTAACCTCCAGGAAACAAGCCTGTTCGGTTTTCTGATACATGCCGGCCAAGGTACCAGCCATCTCCGAACCCTTCGTCAAGCTCGAGCAGCTCAACCTTGTCACCTCGTCGTAAGGTTAGCTCGTCCGCACCTCGAGCATCGAAGTCGTCTATCATATTTGAAAGTTTTATGTCAGTAACGATTCAATGGAAAGAGCTGACAATGGGAATTGGAACTCACGGTTAACCAAAAGCACGTCACCCGGATGAGCATCGCGCGAGTTTGTTGAACGTTGTGGCATGTTCGAATTATATTTTAGGCTCCCAACAAGGACTTCCAGGGGGGTGAGTAAGAGACGAGGACGTTAAAGGAGCCAGGCTCCAGCACTCGACTCCTACAGGAGGGGAAATATAATAGAGCTCTTGTCGGAAGGATGCTCCGGTCCCTCGTAGTCGTACCCGGCAAAAGCTTGTGACAGGCCGTTCGAAAGGCTTGGGATAGCGAACCGCCGAGTGAGACTGACAGCTTGAATGTAAACCACGGATCCGAGAGGGCCGTGAGACCCTAATAAGAATAAGAAGAATAGAACGAAAACGAGAACCGGCCAATCCTCTTTGAACAGCGTTTGGTTCCAGCGAAGCTGCCCAACCTCGGCGGGAGGAGTGAGAGAGATGTTCTTCTCTCTGGTCTGGTCTGACGTTGCAACTAGTCGAGCTGAAGGCGGCGCAACGGGCGGACGGCTAGAGGGGCGATAGTAGATTCAACAACATGCGCAGGCAGCGAGCATGCGATGAACATCGTTGCAGCAGCAGCTCTGGTAGAAAAGTAGAGCAAGAGGACAGCAAGACAGTAAGAAGAAGAGGAGGAGGAAGAAGAAGAAGAAGAGACGAACAAACCAAGGATTGGCTCGACGTGGGACGAAGCAAGGAAAAGAAGCGAAGGAAGGGAAAAAAAAAGGAAAAAGAGAAGTTGAGTTGGCCGTGCTTAGGTAAGCTGAAGATGACATAAGTCGCTTAGGTAAGACGGAAGAATATTTATCCCCGTATCTTATTTGTGTAATCGAAATACACCTCCCAAAGCTCCACTCACCGCCAAACTGACTGCGGAGAGTGGTAACGGGCGGTAAAAAACATTCAATACAGCCAAAGTTAATTAAAAAAAGCTTCTCACTTAAAGAATATAAAAACACCATAAAAGGATGAAGAGGAAAAACATTTGATTTCGTTGTTTTCTATATTGAAAAAAAAAAAAGGATAGTGTTGGCTCTTCAGTTTGGTTTGTCCTGGTTATAAACATATCTCTGTGCTATTCTCATGAACTTGACCGGAGGGGCAAAAGAGAGCAACTTATACTTGCATGTACTCTGTACACACACACCACCCATAATAAAGCCAACATCTTCTTTGCTCCACCCATCAAACTTGCTAACCGCCCAAGTGGCTTTTGGTATTTTTCTTCTTCTTCTCCCAATACATATATAAAGGAAAAAGCTGCTATAAGATTGCCTGTTAGTGATCAAATAGTGACACACAAAAAGAAACCAACTCTCTGTGTGATGTAACCAGGTTCCGGATGCTATTGCGCGGGCTTCTTTTTCTTCTTCTGTGACGCCAAAGATGATATCCCCAAATGCACGAAGACAGCCGTCGTCGTCTACTTCAAGACAGCAAATTAATGGCTCCGAACTTGTCGCATCGAATTCCACTGCCAGCAGGTTTCTAGGAAGCAGACCAAAGGCATGGATGCAGAATGCCAACAATACGACAGGCGCTGCTCCTGTCATCACGCGTCGACCATCGCGTCCTGCCCCTCGTCCTAGTCCTGCCGCTGCTGCTGCTGTGTCTACCAAGGAGAGAACACCCTCAAATTCTGATACAGGCCAAAAGACCGCATCTTGTCCTCCTGGAAGTGCTGAAGGCCCTACACCGGTTTCTGAGGTGTCAGGGGACGCTGTCTCTGCCTCAGTTTACCTGTCACCGGTGTCTTCAGAGAGCATATTTCCTCCTGCGGTACCCATCACGCCAGACCCGGTGCAGCCCGTTCAACCAAAGCAGCCAGTCCAGCTAGAGCAAGCAGTTCAACCTCTGCCATCTCCAAACCCGAGCCACAGGTCTGACCCAAGAGGCACCACTCCTCGCGCTGAACCAGTGACCCCCGAAGTTACAGCACGGCCGGCTCCCCTTGTTGATGGACGCCAGACTGCTTCTCCAAGGCCACCGCCGCCGCCACTGCGATGTATAACAACCCCTTCACAGCAGAACGTCCCTTCTCTAGGCAGTCCTCTGGTGGTGGCAGCGGCCCAGAGCAATGTGCACCTTGTTAGTGACCAGGATAACCATCGAGATAAGCGTCCACGTCTGGCGGTCTCCCAACCGCCAGCTCTCTTTTCTCAAACATGCACCTCGCAACCATCCTCACCATCACCCATTAACAATAATAACAACAATAATGGTATGTCTGAAGCAAGATCAGCTGGCCGGGGACTGCCTAAGCTCCAGCAGCCACCTACTGAGCTTTCACCACAGGCTCTGAACGCTTGTGTGCCTTTTTTAAACGGCGTTGTGTCGACCTTTCAGTCACATGAAGCTGCTTATATTTATCTACTTAGAGATGCATGTGTATTATACGACCTCCAGTATCTGGCACTTCACCAGTTGCACTGTATATCCGCAACCTCTGCCAAAAACCTACCAGGGTTTGGAGCTAAGGGACAAAGGGCAGTTGCAATAGTGCTAGACATGGTGTGTCATAAGGCACGAGCTTCTAGTGTGTTTCTGCATTATTTCAGCGCCTTTCCTTCTGACTTTGCGATTATCACTTCCCAGAATCAACGATATGCGGCTGCAATAGAATCTATCAAAAGCTGGGCACCTTCCTTTGCGGATACCTGGCCTAAATTCTTTTCAAAAGTGTACAATCGTGGATATCCCCCTCTGATTGACGAAATAATCCATGAGCTCGGTGTACATTCGGTCATTATGCAGAGTGTGTTCTACACGGCCTGTGTATCCACTCTGACCGTAAACCGACCAGCAGCACTTCGTGAGGCGTGGAAGACTGTTCGTCAGAAGAATATCGATTTTTACCAGCATCGCCTGCGAATGGCAAATACCCCGAATCCAGTCTCAGCAGTGCATATACAAGGAGAAAACAGCTATCTAGCATCGATGTTTCAGCAAATATATGCAGTATATCCTCCCCCTGGAGTTGCTCCAATTCCTTCCCAGGCTACCCACCACATGAACCCACAGCAAACCCTCTATTCTACCCTTCCAGGCTATCCTTCTACTCCACAGGCGGCACCCTTTTCAGTGACCAACCGACAGGCCATGCGTTTTCCAGCAGCCGCCTCGACAAGATCACAGCCGATACGACCACTACCATTTCAACGTCAGACAACCTTACCATCACAAACTTCAACTGCTCCTCCGAACACCACGGCCAGGATACACCCTCCTATGCCCTCAACGGCAGCGCAGCCATACCCCTCTCCCACTCGCCAACCAATTACCGTTTCTACCGCCAACTTTAATAATAACCCTCCTCTCACGCCTTCTGCTCAGCATTATATGCAACCCACTCCCACAGGCCAGCCTATAGGAACCCCCCTATTCCCTCCCCCCAATGCAAATGCTCTTCCACCCGCCAATCCATCTCCCACATCCAGTCTCCATCTATCTCATCTAAGAGTGGTTAATGTTTCTCTGTCCAAGGGTGGTTCGTCAAAACCGGGCGAAAACCTATTTCAATCGTTCGAGTCATTCGCCATATCTCCTACCACTCTCGGTTGGGATCAATATAACTTTCAATTACCCTTAACTTTATCGTCAAATCAACATGCAGCACTCCCCAGACCACTTCACCCGCCCAACACATTCCACATTATCCAAGGAATCGTTGATGGGTCAAAGATCTATCAAATTCGATGTGTACGTTCCACTGACAGCCAGCCATTGACGGAGGAGAAGTGGGTGATGGCAGAATGTTCTTGGCCGTTAGCCATTTATATCCATGTCAATGGGGTGGAACATTTCTTCCGTCGAAAGTTTCACTTTGGCAAAGATCTACCAGTTCCTATCAACAGGGCTCTTAAATGCGGCCTAAATGAGATCAAAGTCGCTCTTATCGGTACTCCAGAGGAACGCAAAGGTTCCACGTTCGCCATAGCCGTGGAAGTAATCGATGTATCATCATACAAACGGGCTCGCGAAGCGATACAGACCCTATCACTATCTCAGAGTCTCGACAACATCGTCAAACGACTGACAAACAACACAGCTGATAGTGATGAACTATGTGTCATTGATGACTTCATCACCGTCGCCCTAATCGATCCTTTTATGGCTCGAATATTTGATATCCCCGTTCGTACCGTCTCCTGTAAACACAATGAATGCTTTGACCTCGATACTTTTCTTAATACAAGGTTATCCCGAGTGTTGAAGAGGCCTCATGGGATGGCAGAGGACTGGAAATGTCCGATTTGCAACAAAGACGCGAGACCAAAGCGTTTAATTATCGATCAATTCCTAGTTCACGTTCGAGAAGAGTTAGCCCGACGAAAGCAGCTAGATGACGTCACCGCTATCAAAATTCGAGCTGACCAAACTTGGGGCGTTATCACGCGTCAAACGAACAATGTGAAGTCTACTCGAGATTCGTCTTTAAAAGCAGACGAAACCGGAGTGGCTACGACTATCACTATATCATCTCCTAAGACAGCACAGTCGCCCCCAGAAATCATTGAACTTGACTGATCTCTTTAATCCCACATTTGATTAAAGGATACCTACAGACTGGTCTTTTTAACTTCGCCAATTATCCTCCTTTCTTTTCTCTTTCTTTCTTGTATTGGAATCTTCTTTTCTGCTCCAGACTCATTATACCCCTCGTAGGCAATTTGCGTCTTTCTGCCTTTTTACTCTTCCATTTCTCATCAGCAGTATAGGTTATGCCCGGCAGTCGGAGTTATGTTTCACTTTCACTTTTCTTGCTTTTAATTCTCTTTCCTTTCCCTTCCAAGCTTTGAACCGATTTATTTATCAGTCTTTGTAGTCTGGGAAGTTTGGCTTGGTTGATAAAACGGATTGGGATCAATGGTTCTTCATGTAGTAAATGCGTACGGCCCTTTCTTTTCTTTGATACCCTCACTGTGAAAGCGATTGTTTAGAGCATATCTTTATTTTAATGTGTATCTTTAATCTATATTTCTGCTACTGAGTTTGCTTTATACTCTGATTTGTTTCTTCCATGTTATGACTGATGATACTAATGATTCTCATGATTTAAAGTCTACTAGACTATATTTCACCATAGTCGCTTCAAAGTGATAAAGAGCCGTAAGTGGACTGACTGTGTGAGATGATTTCCGAAATTGAATATTTGAAATTGTATTTGGTAAATATAAAATTATATCCAACATTAATTCAAAGGTATAAAGAACAAAAAGTAATGTAATCGAATCCAGCTCCCATTCTCCATTGCCGCCCCTTGATAATGATAGCTAGAACTTCGCCCACTCCGAAATATCCATATTACCTAATTAATATAAAATGCCACAGGGAAGCAGGATTCTTCATCCGATTATGTCACTGTTTCGTGGTTATATATGCACCGCTTCGTAGAATGTAAAGGGGATAGAGCCGGTCGTCAGCCATTCAATAACGCTCATTTCCTCACTTGTCTCGCATGTTTAACCAGGTTCTCTATAACACCTTCAAAGGCCTCCTTTTCTCCAAGTTGACCATCTCTTTTCTTCAGCCAGTACTCCAAAACCTCGCTAGCTCGAACAGTCATCCTCTCCAATGTTTGTATATGCTCCTTCATTTCTTGATCTGTAAAGCCATCCAGTGCTGCGTCCGTAGTTCCACAGAGACGACGGACGGCGAGAAGATCCAGCTCTGGAGGAGGAGTATTACCCTTCCGCCGAGGAGTTGAAGGAACAGGCCGTGACGAAGAGCGGTTAGAGTCAAAAGATGTAGATGAGCGAGACTGTCCGTCAAGATGTTTCCGTTTGCTTCTAGAACGGAGTAATGTGCCGCCAGGACCAGATGGCTCTTCACCTGAAACACGTGCGGTATCGCGGTTCATAGAAGGTAGGACTAACTTCTTCTGCTTTGAGGCTGGAAGAATTTCATCCAGGTCCACTGGGACACCCAGGGAGACGAGAAATAGGCGGCGGATACGGGATTTCGTCCAGTTTGGGGGTTGCAGTGGTGGAGGCGCAACTAGTTGGGACCAAAGAGATAGCGAGCGTTCGGTAGTGAATATTGCGGAGGAGTCAGGAAATGATTCAACAGGGGGTAAAGAGGATATATTTGCAGAGCTAGGAAACAGGGTATCAAGTTGATCAGAAGTAGCAGAAAGAAGGTCAGGAAGTGATTTAAAGGGTGAAAAATCAAGAAGAGGCGGCTAATGTTGTTGTTAGCGATTTTTGAAGTTTGGAGCATGGTAGCCTATGATAACTCACTAGAATAGGATGACTGGAGGGCAAGGTTGAATCGGCTATCGGTTCTGGTATGGCAGCGTCAGAGCCTTCTTCTGGTTCTTGAAAGCCATCATCAAAATCCCCAAATTCGTCCTGGTCATCATCTGCGTCCCCGCCCTTGAAGTCATCAAAGTCATCACCGAAGCCATTATCATCGTTATCATCGTCAACCCGGCCACCGGTATGATGGTCCGTATTATCACCATCATTTAATCGCGACGTGTGTTCGGTGGTTTGGGTATCACAGCTATTTATATCGGGAATTTGTTGTCCTGGTTTGGTCAATCGTTCCTCTAGAATAAAAATAGGGAGTTGAAAAGAGATATTATTTACCTGGAACGTCAAGCACTATCTCCTCCGCGTCCGGGGCCGCATCGCTTGGTTTCCTACGGTGAGCAGTAAACTTTCGTTTCTCCCCATCTTTCGGTAGGGATTCGACGCGGGAGAGAAGCGTCTCTGGGAGGTCACTATCACTGATGGCATCTTCCACTCCATTCTCTGTTATGATAAGCTGTGGGCTTGCTCTTGGATCCCCAAGCTTGAAAATCCGGTCAGGGGGAAAATCCGCCTTTCGTGATTCATATGCCTGTGTCCCCGGTTCTTCACCGTATGCTGGCGAACTAGGGTCTACCTTCTCCACGACTGTCAACGGTATAAGGGTTCCGCCAGGAGTTCGAGGGCGTTCTGGGCAGGCTGGAGTGTGTTGAGCATTCCTTTCCCCCTCTCGAATGATGTCAATCTCATCTGGCACAGCATCTGCTAGCCGCTGTTGGTATGCTGGTGAACCAGGAACCTCTCCATGTCTGGGTGAGGAATCGACCTTTTCTACTCTGGTTCGGGGAACTGGCGATTGGGAGCGGGAAGGCCGTTGAGAGGTGGATACTTGTCCCTCTGTGGCATCAGAGAAGTGCTCTTCATCACTGTCAGGATCTATGACAGGTTAGCGTAAAGAGTAACACCGTTAATAGAATATTTAGTGGTAGGTAAGTATCACACATACTATGGTCTGATGCCCCAGGATCTTCTAGTTCAACTCCCTTTGGTGGTGGCTCCAATAGAACGCTGGGAGGACGAGAGCGCGGTTCGGCCATGGGGATCTACAGGTTCAAAGACACAGTATACGAAGAGTTACCACAAACATGGCCAGTGGCTTGTTTTCTCTTCTACCGTTAAAGCCGTTTGAAGTTGTTTTTGATGTCAAAAGTTCGCCTTTTCTGCCAACAAAAAGGCGGCATGTTTTGGTATCTTACCGATCTATAAAATACACACCAAGCTTGGACGTATCATGTTGTGTATCAATACGGCTTACCTCAGCCAGACTTCGAAGCTTCATTTGGAAGTTTGGAACAGCTTCAAAAAAATAATAAAAAAAACATCCAAGAGAGAGAGAGACGCAAGACGAAGACGAGCGGCCTCTCTAGTTCTTGCCTTCGTGCCGCGTTACTATCACGCAGACGAGACATTGAGCAACTGTACAGTTTTGACCTCCCATCTCATCAAGTAATAATTCTCTTGGTTCATGGTGCTAATGTCCATCTCAAGTTCTCTACATCGCGTGAAGCCAACGCCCATACGATCTTCCCACCTCCTCGATTATGAATTTCGGAAGCGCATCCACGAGCGGAGGCTCGTCCCTGTTCGGTCAGCCAACTTCAGGCTCAACCGGCGGCCTCTTTGGCAACGTTGGTGCGAGCGGCCAGACTACTTCAACCTCGTCACCCTCATTATTTGGATCAACTCCTGCCACGACGGCCACGAGTAACCTATTTGGCGCGCAAAAGCCTGCAGCTTCTGGTGGAACTTTCAGTTTTACCAACCCAGGTCAAACTTCAGGCCAGCAGAGTAACTCCCCCATTTTTGGCCCTGGTACCGCGACCCCAAATAAACCAGCAGATTCAGCAACGCAGGCACAGAAGCCGTCGGGCCTATTTGGGAACACTACTACCGGAAGTCCTAATATCTTTGGGAGCACAACTCCTGCTACCGCAAAGTCAGGTCTTTTCGGCAACATATCAACAACCCCGGCTGGCCCACCACCCCAGGCACAGACAAATACTTCTTTCGGACAACAAAACACTGCTCCGTCGGCCCTCTTCGGAAATGCACGCACTTCAAGCCCGCTATCGACAAATTCTCCCGCTGTTTCAACTCCAACTCTTGGTTCCGGCAGCGGTGCGGACCAACAACAACAGGCGAAGCCTGCAAGCAACTTGTTTGGGGCCACTGGCAGTACACCCAATACTTCTAATACCACATCTGGAGGATTATTTTCCAATTTAGGTCAGACTAAACCGGTTACTGATGCTTCAAAACCAAGTGCAAACACAGGCTTGTTTGGATCCGGTGGAGCTATACCTACAACTTCCCAGGCTTCAGGTTCACTATTCACGCCGTCATCCGGAACCTCTACTCAACCTGCGTTTTCCCTAACGCCAGCCACCACAACCAAACCATCTACATCTCTCGCTACTGCTACTACAGCAGGTAGCAATACCCAGAACTCTCTATTTTCCCTTGGCACTCCAGCATCCACAGCCACACCAGCAACCACTACAGCTGCTCCATCTGGTGGGCCTTTTCGGTACTTCTAAACTGGGAGCTTCTACAGAGTCTACCGCACCAGCTACTACCAGAGCTGCAGGCGGCAATATGTTTGCGAATATCGGGACAACTG